AAGTGACTTAAGGTCCTAAATCTCATTTGCTTTCAATTAGATGTAGGATCCTAACAATCTAAGTCAGTTTGAAAATGAGATTTAGGCTCTTAAGTCACTTAGGCACGTTTTGAAATTTTTACCCATAATCTTATAGTGAAATATGCATCTCATTCTAAACACCCATTCAGAGCATTTGCTCTTCTATGCCTTAGTACCTACAGCAGAAACTGAATGGACATCTATGATGGAGTAGTCTGCCCACATAAGGGTGCTGTTCAGCCCATCCCGGTCACGTGAAATGGCCCTTTAAAACAATGGGAACTTTCTTGTGTATGCAAAGGCCTAGGAAATAAGGCTGTACTGGTGGAGAGGAATTGGTCCCAGGAATAAGTGTTTATATGGAGAAAGTCACTGACTGTTTCTTTAAAGGCCAGGACCAGAAGCCTTGCAGAGTGGTCAGGGCAAGAATCCCCTCTCACCCAATCAGTTGGGAATGATCTGGGAGAAGGGGACTAGCATATTTGCCACCTCCTCTCTCATAGCAGGGCAGAGATCAGCAGGAAAAGGCTGACCTGTGGAATCCTCCAAGATAGAGGACTAATTGGGAAAAGGCGCCCACCTGAGAGGGTGAAGCTGGCTAAAGCCTTGTAACTTAGAATCATAGAAGATTAGGGTTGGAAGAGACTTCAGGAGGTCATCTTGTCCAACCCCTGCTCAAAGCAGTACCAACACCAACTAAATCATCCCAGCCAGGGCTTTGTCAAGCCAGGCCTTAAAAACCTCTAAGGATGGAGATTCCACCACCTCCCTAGGAAACCCATTCCAGTGCTTCACCATCTTCCCAGTGTAATAGTGTTTTCTAATATCCAACCTAGACCTCCCTCACGGCAACTTGAGACCATGGCTCCTGGTTCTGTCAACTTGCCCAAACCATTACCCCAGCTCCATAGAAGAGAGCTGGGGGAGACTCCTGTCTGGAGTAGGGAGATCTGATTGCCTGAACCACAACCCCAGCTCCAGGAGGAGGGCCGAGGTGAGCTCCTTCCTGAAAAAGATAGTGCATGGCCTAACTTCATGGCTCATAACCCCTGCTCCAAGAAGAGAGCTGGGGATGGTTGGGGGTGGAATCCTGCTTTAAGAGAGGAAACAATACGGATGGTTTGAAACACAACCTGGTGAGTGCCAGAGAGGCTGAGAAGCCCCTGGAAATGGAGCGGGGGCTCACAATACAGGTGGAGGAGAAGCCACCCACAGAATCTCAGGAGGAGAGTACCTTAGGGTTGAACCAGGGGAACAGTATACAGGAGGAGTTCAATAGAAAGCAGGCCAGGGAAACAGTAAAGGGTTGGGGAGAGATTGGTGTAACCGCTTTATACTGGGCCTTGGCCTGGAACGTAGGGAAGAGGTAGGACTGGGTTTCCCTACCAAACTCAGCAAGAGGGTTTATTAAGGACTGGAGCAAGTGGGCCAAACTCAAAGAGACCAGGGACTGCATGCCCCAGTTAGGAAGACTGGCCTCTTGAAGCACTGGACTTTTCAGCACCCTGAAAGGGGACAGCACTACCAACAACCAGCTGAAGGGCTGAGGTCATGACAAAGGACCAACAAGTGAGCTAGATAGCTAAAGCTCCATCTGAATGCTGACTTCTCATAGGATGGTGAAGAACAGTTGGGGGAGGGGAGGCAGACCTCAAATGGAGTCATAAGGGGAGGGATGTGTGAAAGAGCAGAGAAACTGCTGCCTTGCACAGCAGGGGTTAAAGAAAACCTGTGAGCTCAGCTAGCCATGCCCTGCTATACTTGCAGCCAATGCTGGGCCTGGAGCGGGGAGAAAAGGAAGGATCCTGGCTCAGTTGTGGGCTGTCTATCAAGATCTTCTGAGGCACCTCGACTTGAGCGAAGATCCTCGTAAGCTCCGTAGTCACTCTTTTGGAATTCATGGAGCATAATGGCATGGCTTCTGCGTCTAAAGCACGATATGTGGTCTGTGCTACCCCAATTAAGTACGGGGTCAGCACTGCAACCCATTGGTCTTGGGGCTACCGTGGCTACCTGCTCAAAAGTTTCTAAGAAAGCCTCAGGATCATCCTCAGGCCCTGTTTTGGTAAACCGGATAGGGGTGGGGTTAGTTGTCTCTGCTGGAGCACTGAGTCGCAGTATGGAGGCCACCTGCTGGACTGCCAGTTCACCAATTAACTGCTGCAGCTGCGTGGCCATCTGCTGCAAGAGTTGTTGCTGTTGATGGTGGGTGTTTTGCTCTGCTATCTATTTCAGCAGCTGTTCCATCTCCATTCAAGGGCTTCCCTTTTGTTTGGGCTTTTGTTTGTTTTTTTTAAGTTCCCTTCGGCAGGGACTAGGGCGATACCCATGTTCTCCACCACTTGTGATAGAGCCTTCGGTGGCCAAGCAGCCTAGTGGCTAGATCATTGGTCAGCTGCGTTGGAGGGGGGACCCAGACTCTCCCCAGGGCCTTGTGTAGTTCAAACCCCTAAACGGGTTGATGGGTCTGTTTTTCTGCCTGGGGGGTGGTCAAGACCCGCTTCTCTGGGCTGCTACTTATTAGAGTCTCTTTAGTTTGGGGCATGACTCTGTTAGTTCAGTTACCCCACAGTTGGGGCTTGGCTGCAGGCTCTCCTTGCCAGGGGAAGGTTTACTTGCCTCTAGTGATTGTGCTGGCTGACCAGTCACTGATCCATCCCTTCAGACAGGCAAACAGAGAGCTCCTGCTTCCTCCCCAAACAGCCTGCAACTGAGCCAGGCTCCCTCCTTTTCTCCCCCCTCCAGGCCTGGTATTGGCTGCAGGTATAGTGAGGCGGGGTTAGCTGAGCCCACAGGTTTTCTTTAACCCCGGCTGTGCCAGGCAGCAGTTTCCCTGCTCCTTCACAGGAGCAAAGCTCATGAAGTCGTATGGGCTTCCCGGACATGTGTACTTTGGGATGCAGGAGAGGGGTGCCAGTTGTGAAACAGCCCAGCAGCCGAGATTTGCTACCTGACTAGCTGCTTCCAGCATTTTAATGATAGTTTACATTTTATATAGCATCTTTTAGTATCGATGGATTCTAAAGTTCTTTACAAACTGATATATCAACTATTTACCGAAACCATTTGATGGGCATCAAGCACAGCAGCTGTTTAAAACAGCCGAGCTCTACTACATTGTAGGGCAGGATTTAAAATGGAAGGAGAATTTAAATAGGCAGAATATGATTTTCAGAACTAGAATTTTGCAAGGAGATTGAAGTTACATTTCTGGTCTTGTAACAATAATAATTAATAATTGGATCTTTTAATGATAACAGTTGATTAGAACCTGGGTTTTATAGCTTCACTGAGAGATGGTACCTCCAATAGTAATGCACCTTTTAATATCAGACTGAGGTATTGGTTAAATACTAATTTAGAGGGAAGAGAATGCCTCCTGAATCACACTTCTCCTGATGATGCCTTCTTTTGGTTAGTGTCTTCCTCGAAACCCAAAGACTTTGTCACCTTTAGAAAGGTGAATGGAGGATGACCTAGCCCAGCCAGTAGCTCCTACTCTCCTCACAGTTAGGAATACCCCAAGTAAGCAAGAATTTGAAATAATTTATAGCAGAAGTTATGACAAGTAAAGTTCCATCAAAGTTCAGATAGCTCTATGAACATTGCAGTTCTTTGGTTTTTTTTCTGTAGGTAGAGAAAACTAGCCATGTTGAAAGCAGCTGATATAAATACATGAAGAAAGTTACTAAGTTCATATTTGCTAATTATCTCCGTAAATTAAGAGAAGCCATTTAAAATCCAGCTGTGGAATTTAAAGATCCTGTTTCAAAACACTTTCTATAACTGTATTTACTTATCTTTATATTTTCCATTGTTTCTATTGTTAACAAACAATGGTTAAGGCTGTGAACTACTATATGGTTGATTTGAATGAAAATCTTTGATAAAAACAGTTCAAAAATTAATTATGCATATGGTGTGTACATAATTTATTTTTCTATATTGTGGGTTTTTTGATCAAGATGACATGAGTAGAGCATCTCAGTTAATAATATCCATGGTTCTATTGATTCCAATGGCATTTTCTCACTTTAAAAATATATGCTGGGTTCTCAATCATGAAACCAAATACTTAAAAGCAAGTTTTTAACGCAGTGTATATAGACCAGTGGTTCCCAGACTTTTGTACTGGTGACCCCTTTCACACAGCAAACCTATGAGTGCGACCCCCCCTTACAAATTAAAAACACATTTTTTATATTTAACGCTATTATAAATGCTGGAGGCGAAGCGGGTTTTGGAGTGGAGACTGCCAGTTCGTGACCCCCACATAATAATCTTGTGACCCTCTGAGGGGTCATGACCCACAGTTTGAGAACCCCTGACATAGACCTTGGGAAAGCTTGTTGCATAAGCAACAGTGTATAGCTTCTTTATTGAAGAACACAGGCCTCTCAGAAGGCTATTCACCATCCTTTCTGGTGCTACGTTGAACATGCTCTAGAAGGGAAGTGGATTTATTTTTTTGGAGAGTGGGGTGATTTAGGGTTGCTTGTGTAAGCAGTCCCATTGTACTCCAGTAGCTCCCAACATGAGTAAGAGTTGCAGAATTAGGCCCTTAAGCAGTACAAAGGATATTTCACTTATGTCATTATGAATATGTTTAACAATAAAAATGATTCACCCCTTGTAGCTGAGATTTAGCAAGTAAAATTTCAGAAATGTGACTACAGGGTTATTGTAATGAGAGATTTCTGAATGCAATAAATTATTCAGCTGTAACTTGTTACTAGTTTAATATTCAGTTTAAATTCTTATAAGAAGCCTATTCCAAATGAGTTCCTTATAATAAATAGGACTATGGCTGAAGTTTAGTTAATTTGTTCCTGTTTAATTTTTAATCCCTACTTTATTGAAACAAAGTTAACACTTCAAAAGCATCTGTCAAATGCGTGTAACCCTTTTTTGTTATCTGCAGAAATAAAAAGTGACCTTTTCAGTGCAAGCTGTGGTTTTACCATCTGTTTGTCTTACAGCTAGACCCTTGGTACAAACACTGCCTTTAAGGACAACTGTTAATAATGGAACCGTGTTACCAAAGAAACCAAGTGGCTCTCTACCTTCCCCATCAGGAACCAGGAAGGAAACTGTGGCACCAGCCACAAAGAGGTATGGAGAAACTTGAAACTATTAAACTAATTGAGAAAGTAGTAAATGTCGTTGTAACGCTTTTATGAGTGTGTATGTGCAGTTTTTCGCTCTTTAGATAACACTTTCAAAGCAATGGTCTAGATAATTGAAAAAGTGATTTACAGTTAAAATCTTGTAAAAATACTTACAACATCTTTCTATTCATACCAAGTTAATTAATCAGGCCAAATGTTATTGCAGTAAATACCCTGGAAATATACAATGATTAGTCTATTATTTATGTGTTTCTTTCTTGATTCTGCAGTCTAGTAGATTAAGAGTAGGAAATTTCTGCTTTGGATTTCAGAACATGTTCTGAAAAGTAATGCCAGGGTTCTTTGTTTTAGAAAATAGAAGAAACAAAATTTGGGGAAGGCATGTAGTCCTGTGACAAAGTCATATAATGCTATTGGTCACTTTTTCTAGGTAAAATTATTTTATGTAGAAATCTAATTTTCTGTGTTGTACAAGGAAATTCACTTATTTCAGACCATATTTAGCAAACACTTATGCCAGTGAAAACAACCCTGCTCTGACTTATTATTATTAACATGTATTTAAGTCCCTTTAAAAAATTGCTTAAATGTCTTGGGTGTGGTTTAAAAATTAGTATGCTTCATATTTGTGTATTCCTTTACATATTCAAGCTCTGGAAAAAGTGGGATTGGTGGAGCAGGTTCAATTTGGACAAACCAGAGCCGCACTACAGAGCCAGTCTGTTATGCCCCATGGTGCAAAAGATAAGATTCTGTGTACGATTGATTTCTCCTTCTACATTCCCCTACCTTGAATGCCAAACCAGCTTTGAGTGGTGGTAATACTATCAGTCCATGGAAGGCAGATTGTAGAGATAAGAATAGCAACGTGTCCAGAAATTACTTGTGTTTGTAGAAGGAGCTAGGGATACAGAGGATACAGATTTTACATTAAACATGAGGTAGAAACATATGATGTGCTATGATGGAAACCAGCCATTGACATGATGAAAGGGGAGTGTTGCTGGTTACCCAGATTGTTCAAGTTATTGTCTCCACAAAGCTCTCAGCACAAAGCAGTTTATACTCTACACCACACAGTGATAGAATCAGGAAACATCACACTGTTGTTTCTGCCTACCTGAGATGGAGTTGGGCCTCTATGACCTGGGGGCTCAGTGCAGTTGCAGGTACCTTGACACAGGTTCAGCAGTATTGTTTGAACTAGCCCTGCTGATGGGAAGGAAAGATAAATTTAAATGGGTTAAATGTCATCAGAATGTTCAAAAGCAGGTGAGAACCTATTTTAAAAAAGAAAAACTGTTTTTAGTATTTCAGAAGTAAAGTAACACTGATTTGTATATACTGCACGTTTAGGGTGTTTAATTTTATTCATCATAATTCCTTTCCCTAGCACTAGCAAAGAAGAGTTGTTGCACATAGTAATTGCAAAATAAAATGCAGCATATGAGTATTAACATACTTCAGATGTACACATAGGGTGTTATTCCATACCCTGCCACTAAGAGGTGCAGAACAGAAAGAACTTGCAGCCCAGGACTGGGGGTACCTAAAATGGGTTTTAAATCATCCTGGCACTTCCCTGATTCTGGATTAATTTAGACAGCCCCACAGGCTAACCCCTGCAGCCTATATGCCTCATCATTGCCTGGCATCCCTGCTGTGCTAGCTATATGCTGCAGCCTTACCCTTCCGTAGCCTTTCCCCCAGCATTTCCCCTGTGCTAGGTAGGGCTTGTTGGAGGACAGCCTGTGGCTGTCTTCCTTAGTTCCTGTTCTGTGAAAATTCTTCACTGACCTTTCTACCCAGCGTCAGGGGACCAGAGGGGGGACGAGAGTCTCACCCATAGATTTTAAATAAACAGTGAGAAAATAACCTGAGACACCTCCTTATGGGAGAAAAAACAGTAGACATAGGCAATCTTGCCTGTTAACTAGATGCTTATTAAGACATAAATAAATAAATAAATAAATTTGTTAGCCTCTAAGGTGCCACAAGTACTCCTTTTCTTATTAAGACAGTGTTATTTCTCTCATTCTCACAGAAATGTAATTTATAAATTCAGGTACTATAGTACGTAAGATAATTGTTTCTTTAAAAAAATCTTTTTTTTAAATGAACTGGTACAATTACAAATGTACTTATACGAAATTTTCACTTTATAGATTCTAAAATGTAGGTTTTAATATAGAATTTGCTACTTTCAAATTTATTTAAGTCTGTCTTTCAGAAATCTATATTGTACACTGTTACAGTTCATCACATAACTAAACTTCAGGAGGAACAGAGATTTTAAAAAGCACACTTGGGTATGAGCTACTTCTTCAATGAATTACTGTGAAAGGAAGACTATTTTTACTTTGCAGATTATTGTCCACTGCTGAAAGCTTTTGATATTGACCCCTAAACTAACTGATAGGATTCCCAGTTTTTATGTTAAAAAAAACCAGATATTCCATATTTGGGGTAGCTTTATTCTGAATAAGTATTTTATGCTTACAAATGGTGAGAAAAATGAATTCATTAACTGTTTTGTATTTATATTGGGCCCTTCCATATTAAAATACTGTGGAAGAGCATGTGTGTGATACAAATGAAAATGTGTCAGCAAGAAGGAACTTTTTTTTACATAACTCTTTATTTGCATTTAGAAGCTTAAGTTGTTGCTTCGTTTACATAATATGTGTAATTTTAAAGAAACCATTCTATGCTGACTTCAGTTAGTAAAAACAAAAACAAAAGATCATTGTTCTTTTTACACTGAAGGATTTGAAAACATTCAGCCGCTTGTAAGCTTAGATATTCCAGAAGCAATCCACCGCATAGTGGTAATGCTTTGTATTCCCAATTAAAATCTAGATTTTGGAGCTGATTTGATATAGCTTTGTTGCCATTAGACAAAAGTATAAGAGGAGAAAATGTAGGGGAAAAGAATACAGGCCGTATCTTGCTCAGTGGGGATTCTGGTGCAGTCTATAGACTAGCATATAGCTTAGCTTTCAAAAGGAAACAATCACTCATTCTCTCTGCTTGAAGAGATTGTAAGAGATCACAGTGGAGCAAAACGGTGAGGACTGGAGATGAAAATAAACAAACTGGTACAAAAAGAACACTATAAAAAGCATGGTTTTGTACAGAGTATAAAATACTTTAATAAGATAAATTCCTGTTGCTTCCAAACTAGCAACATATGCCCTCTGAGAAATTGCTCTCTCTCTTGGAATTAATGTACGACATTCTGTACTGGAGCAACAATGATTTTTAACTGGCATAAATACAAAATCAATATGCAGTTTCAATTAATTCTTCTGTTTTAATACCCTCAACTATTAAGAAAAAAGTTTTTAAATAAATGGAATATAAACACAAATATTCTCTTTAGAGTGAACTTTGAGTGGCAAAACTAATCTATTACATTACGTTACTAACAATAGAAGATATTAATGTATCACACTCAAAGGCATAATGCAATTAAAGCCATAAAAGAGTTCTTGAATTTATTCTAATTAATTTAAATGAAGGTGAGGGAGCATGTTAGACAAAAATTGTTAAACCAAATTGTGCACCATTTACAATTACCTTAATTGGGGCTGGCAAATTTTCTGATTCAAATTTTGACTTCACTTCAACATTGTGGGTCTGAAAGCTCAGCTTGAACTTGAATATTATTAGATTCCTGTTTCATTTAGGAGAAAAAGAGAGAGAGAGTGTGTGTATGTGAATGAGAGAGAGCGGGAGAGAGAGGAGAGAGAAAATTCCAATGGAAATATAGATGCAGCAGGCCTGGTATTTATGCCTGCTACTGTATTTTTCACTCCATGCATCTGATGAAGTGGGTTCTAGCCCACGAAAGCTTAAGCCCAAATAAATTTATTAGTCTCTAAGGTGCCATAAGGACTCCTCGTTGTTTTTGCTGATACAGACTAACACGGTTACCACTCTGAAACTTCTCTGATGTTTGTACATCAGGGTAGCTTCATTAAAGTCAATGGAACTACACTAGTATAAACTTTGGAAATTTCAGTAAGCCAACTAGGATATTTTCTTCTGGGGTTACTCCCATTAGCCAGGCTAACACAGCACAGTTTTCCCCTTTAGTTAGCAAAACCCTTCACTTTTGTTGATATAGATATCTATATACCATACAGTCATAGTATGTTTAACATATTCATTAATACATATATGATTAATTAATTCGTCAGATTTGACCACTGCACCTCCGCTCTCTCCACTTAGCCATCTCCACCCAGACTTATTCTAATATTGCAAACCTCTGAGCAACTTCAAATATCTTGCACTCTTTAAATACCCAGTTACACAAGTTACCTAATTCTGCCCCTAACCTGCCCTGTTAGACTGGTCTTTGATTCAGGATGGGCTGCTATCAGCCCTGGATAGGGCTTAAGCTCCAATATTTTGGGACTGTGTATATCTAGAATTAGGCTCTTTATGCTTTTTGGGGAAAACTATTTGCAGCCAGGGTGGAGCAACACTTGTTCTAGTCCTGGAAAGGCCCATTATATGAAATTTTAAAGCTGTGACCTTTGTAATAGAAAAGCTGTTTCAGGTTACATTTAGATGTTGTCTTCTCCCTCTGAGTTCTGTGAAGTTTCTCAATAATGTAAGAACATAAGAACGGCCATACTGGATCAGATCAAACGTCCGTCTAGCCCAGTATCCTGTCTTCCGACAGTGGCCAATGCCAGGTGCACCAGAGGGAATGAACAGAACAGGTAACCATCAAGTGATCGATTGCCTGTCTCCCATTCCCAGCTTCTGGCAAATGGAGGCTAGGGACACCATCCCTGCTCATCCTGGAATGGACCTATCCTCCATGAATTTATCTAGTTCTCTTTTGACCTTCATAAAGGCCTCTGGCAAGGAGTTCCACAGGTTGACTGTGTGTTGTGTGAAAAAATACTTCCTTTTATTTGTTTTAAACCTGCTGCCTATTAATTTCATTTAGTGACCCCTAGTTCTTGCGTTATGGGAAGGAGTAAATAATATTTCCTTATTTACTTTCTCCTCACCAGTCATGATTTTATAGACCTCTATCATATCCCCGCTTAGTCGTCTCTTTTCCAAACTGAAAAGTCCCAGTCTTATTAATCTCTCCTCGTATGGAAGTCTTTCTCTACCCTAATAATTTTTGTTGTCCTTTTCTGAACCTTTTCCAATTCCAATATATCTTTTTTGAGATGGGTTGACCACATCTGCACGCAATATTCAAGATGTGGGCATACCATGGATTTATATAGAGGCAATATGATATTTTCTGTTTTATTATCTATCCGTTTCTTAATGATGCCCAACATTCTGTTTGCTTTTTTGACTGCCGCTGCACATTGAGTGGATTTTTTCAGAGAACTATCCACAGTGACTCCAAGATCTCTTTCTTGAGTGGTAACAGCTAATTTAGACCCCATCATTTTATATGTATAGTTGAGATTGTTTTCAATGTGCATTACTTTGCATTTATCATCATTGAATTTCACCTGCCATTTTGTTGCCCAGTCACTGAGTTTTGTGAGATCCTTTTGTAACTCTTCACAGTCTGCCAGGGATTTAACTATCTTGAGTAGTTTTGTATCATCTGCAAATTTTTCCTCCTTACTGTTTACCCCCTTTTCCAGATTATTTATGAATATGTTGAGTAGGACTGTTCCCACTACAGACCCCTGGGGTATTGGTATTACTTATGGTAAATATACAATACCTTGTTTTCCTAGTATAAGGATACCAAAAATTACTTCAGTGTTTTTAAACCCTCTCAAATATCTGTAAAATAGTTTTATATAAGATAATATGCTGTAAAGGCTTTACTGCCATAGGCTTTCATTGCCTTGTTTATCACTGATCAATGCAACCATCCTAAATATTTATACCATTACTGCACAGCTGCATTGTATGTGTGTATATATGTGTGACGATTTATATTCTTATGCTTATCCTTGTAGTATAGTGCTTGTTCTCTAGCTTGATATTATCCATTTGTTGATGATATCCTCTGATTTTTAAGAGAATTTAGGCTGCTTGTTGAAGCTCCGGAGATGGTCAGCATATACAGAGTATTGCTAAACATTCTTGTCATACATAGATATATTGTTGGACTGTAAATACGTATTTTGAACTGACCACACATCTGACTGAGGAGCCATAAAATCCACGGTACTTCACTCTTGCATGTAATTTCATATCTTGAATGTGCAGTTATGTGTGTCTTTAATTGTAAGTTTGTTTTAAATGTGTCTTGTTCCACACTTGTTGTATTCACTTTTATTCTGCTTTGTTTATGCACCTCTCAGTCATGGATTAAACAGGTCTGTGAGTCTTCTCAATGCATGCAAACTGAAAAAAACCACTGTAAGGTGAGGGATTCTTGGTAGTATTGTAGTGTCATAGTTCAGTAGGTTTTCCCTGCTGTCATAGCTCAGTCTGTGCAGGGGGGTTATTTTAGTGATGGTGTTTCTATCATAATACATAATTGTAGTAACTGTTACAACCTTCAGTATTTTCAGAAATAAATTTTGCAACATATACTCATAACCAATGTGTTTAAATGGACCAGAACTTTTATAAAGTAATTAACTCAGTAATGGTACCTCTACTTTTTGTGCTAACGTTCTCTCCATTATAGTGATGATTTTTCATAATGCAAATTCCTTCAAACATATTTGCTTATTGCAGCTTGTTTCCTAAGTATTGTAAGTCAAACATTTTGTCCTGGTGTTGCACCATTAAAAACTACCTTTCCTTAAATTAATTATGAAGGTCAAATTCTGGATTCAATATTCTTGTACACCCCTATAAATCAGCGTTCTAGTTTCTGTGATCCTTATGCTTCTCATTTAAATTCCAGTTGAAGTATCAGTATGTCTGCTGTGTCCAGAATAAGCATGTCAATAGTGTTCACTGTAGCATCTTAGTTTTTAATTATATAAAAATATGGTATTAGACATACCAAAATATGTGCATGCTTAAATTGATTTAACAGTATGAATGTGTTGCCGTAACCCTTATCTTTTCTTGCCTCGTCACTTCCCTACTGCCTGTCACTATTGCTCATTATGTCAAGGCTAAAATCTAAATTGTAAATTCAGTGAGCCAGGGACCATGTTCTTCTGTGAAATGTCTAGCTCTCTCTTGGGTCCTATAAAATAATAGAGGTTTCATAGGTAGGGTGACCACTGGTCTCTTATTTTAAGGGACCATCCTTTATTTAATTGATTTATCCCTTTTGGTTACCACTCATCCCTTATTTTAAAATGTATTTAAATGTATTAAAACTGTTAAGTAATATTTTAAACATTAAATTGAAGCTTATGATAATTGCATTGTATATTTGAGGCAATAGAAATATCCACTTGAGAGAGAAAAATACATGATATGCTAAAGGAAATGGTGTTTCCCTGAAATATCCCTTAAAATAGAGCGTTCTCTCTTATTTTTCTTGTGGTTTTCCCTTATTTTCTATTCAGAGGTGTAATTGAGGTTAGAATTTGGCACATAATCATAATTAAGGATGCACAAGGGATGTATTAGCAGGCATGTGTTAGTATCAGTGTCTAACGTACTGTGTCATTATTGATGAAGTAGTGCTAGTCAATAGCAGTGTCATACTTAGCCACCAGTTTTATATGGAACTTTTCTGAGAGTAAGGTTCAAACTTCTCAAGTTGCCACACATTTTTTAACTGAAGACAATGCTTTAGTTAAAAAGAAAGCATTCTTAATTTCAGTTCTCTTGTCCTTGTAATTTTTTGTTTTCAGGCTGAGCTTAAGAACTTTACAAGTGAAATTGAAATTATTCATATATTTAAAGGCAAAACATTAATGGTAAAACATGAATTGTAAAATATTTTTATTTAAGAAAATTTTTGTCCTTCCATGTTAATATACTTTTAAAATGAAATTTCTTTCTCCAGAAAGGAGACCGCATTTTGTGTTGTGGACAGTAATGAAGTTATTTAATATTTGTTGCTAAATTTTTGACATTTAAAGTGAGATTAAAATGTGCTCTGTAACTTACAAATTATCTAACATAGATGCAACAAGTTGCATCTTTAAAGGCATAATTTAGTGCCATTAAGCGATGTTACCTTTTCATTCCATAGGTAGTGAACATAATACAAAATATAGGCCCTGATCCTAAAAACATAGGCTTAATTTTATGCACTGGTGTGATGGAGTTCAGTGGGCAATTCATGCAAGTAAAGGCACTCATAAGAGTAAGTGTTTTGAGGACCAGTTTTTAATTGGAGAAACATTAAAATAGACTACATTATAAGTTAAAATGTTTTCATTATGTCCTTTATCCCTTTCACCCAGGGCCAGCCTAAAATATACTGATTTTTGAACTGAAAGCAAGATTTGATCCTTTACTATCATCACTTCCTTGTTGTCAATTTATTTTTCCCAACTACCTATGCAGCTTAGCAACCCACATATTCTCTGTGTTATTTCATCACCCAAAAGAATATTCTTATTTCAACTTAATAATTTACATTTTGGTTGGGTTTTGTATCAGAATGCATCCAAAACAATTTGTACCACCATCAGGTGCTCCAAAAGAGAGAATATGGTAGCTGACATAAAGCTTTCCAGGATGCATCTGATGTTTCTGACCGTGTAGAACTTAAAATGGAGACATCCTTTCAGAGTAGTGCTTGGTTAGGTAGCAACTTAGCAGCTAAATAATAGTGGTTTAAGTCTGGCAAGTTGGTGAAGTGACCACAGTAATCTCTCTCCCCCTTCAAATGTAAAGTCTTAAGCGGCCATCTATTTTGCTAGTTACTAAAACTGATTATGGTTGAGTCTTCTGTCTAACTAAAGAGAGCTGGATGCTGAGGGCACACTAAAGAGTGATGCAAAACTCTCCTGGTAGAGACATTCGGAGGAAGGAAGGTTGGAAGGGCAAATTAGCCCTCTGAGAATTCCCTCACAGAGGAAAAGGGGAAAAGATCTTTTTAGGATCTATGTTTTTTTTTCATAAATGTAAGTAGGAGTGTCACATGTTGACAAGATAATGACGGAAACTGCCGAAATATTTAAGAAGTCTCAGTTTACTCATCACCTTTGGGTATATTAAAACTGGGTTGAAAGTACAGTATAGAGTAGTTGATACTGAATTAAAGACTGAATGGATATGAAGAGACATGGTCAGCTTATTAGAGCTCAAAATTTGACCTACTTTGAGAATTATGTGTAATATGGCTAGGAATGTCAAATGTTATACTTTCTTTTTAAATCTATCACTCCATTCTCTAAATTTAGTTTGGACTGATGTACAAAAATTGTAAGTGTGACCTCTCTGATATTCTGCTTCAGAAGTCTATGTATCGCGTATACCTGAGCAGTGGATATTCCAACTGGCATCAGTGATGCTAGTATAGCACCTCTTGTAGACTGAAAAATAAGCAAAAAGGCAGTCATGTTAACCTCCATTGCAGTAGATACCCAGCAAAATAGTCTGACGGCTGCAGTTCAGTTCTTAGTAACCTAAATCATTATCTGTTCTAGAAAGTAATTTGTTAAATAGGTATGTTAATGCTCTTAGAAATAAAAGTGCAATTAAACTTTCTGAGGTATAGTTTATCAAAATCAATTTGTAATAAAATACTCTTTTATATGTACTGCTATATAACTTACTCCCTTTTTTGTTAGTACTGTCAAAAGAACCAGCTCAGCTGAACGTGTATCCCCAGGAGGTCGAAGGGAAAGCTATGGAGATTCCAAAGGCAGCCGCAATCGCACTGGATCCACCAGCAGTTCTTCTAGTGGTAAAAAGAACAATGAGAAGTATGTGATATTTTTAATGTTTCCCTCTTTCCCACACTGACTGCCCTAATAATGAAGTTACTAATTTTAAATAAGCAACTATTGAAAGTTTGGATTTTCTAATGAGACAGCAATCAGACATGAGATGTCTCTGCTCCTGGACTTCAGGAAAGCACACTTCGACTCCCTCAGGGAGCTGATGGGTAGGATCCCCTGGGGGACTAACATGAAGGGGAAAGGAGTCCAGGAGAGCTGGCTGTATTTCAAGGAATCCCTATTGAGGTTACAGGGACGAACCATCCCGATGTGTCGAAAGAATAGTAAATATGGCAGGCGACCAGCTTGGCTTAACGGTGAAATCCTTGCGGATCTTAAACATAAAAAAGAAGCTTACAAGAAGTGGAAGATAGGACAACTGACCAGGGAAGAGTATAATATTATTGCTCGGGCATGTAGGAATGAAATCAGGAAGGCCAAATCACACCTGGAGTTGCAGCTAGCAAGAGATATTAAGAGTAACAAGAAGGGTTTCTTCAGGTATGTTGGCAACAAGAAGAAAGCCAAGGAAAGTGTGGGCCCCTTACTGAATGAGGGAGGCAACCTAGTGACAGAATGTGGAAAAAGCTAATGTACTCAATGCTTTTTTTGCCTCTGTCTTCACGAACAAGGTCAGCTCCCAGACTGCTGCACTGGGCATCACAGCATGGGGAGTAGGTGGCCAGCCCTCTGTGGAGAAAGAGGTGGTTAGGGACTATTTAGAAAAGCTGGACGTGCACAAGTCCATGGGGCCGGACGCGTTGCATCCGAGAGTGCTAAAGGAATTGGCGGCTGTGATTGCAGAGCCATTGGCCATTATCTTTGAAAACTCGTGGCGAACGGGGGAAGTCCCAGATGACTGGAAAAAGGTTAATGTAGTGCCAATCTTTAAAAAAGGGAAGAAGGAGGATCCGGGGAACTACAGGCCAGTCAGCCTCACCTCAGTCCCTGGAAAAATCATGGAGCAGGTCCTCAAGGAATCAATTCTGAAGCACTTACACGAGAGGAAAGTGATCAGGAACAGTCAGCATGGATTCACCAAGGGAAGGTCATGCCTGACTAATCTAATCGCCTTCTAGGATGAGATTACTGGTTCTGTGGATGAAGGGAAGCAATGGATGTATTGTTTCTTGACTTTAACAAAGCTTTTGACATGGTCTCCCACAGTATTCTTGTCAGCAAGTTAAAGAAGTATGGGCTGGATGAATGCACTATAAGGTGGGTAGAAAGTTGGCTAGATTGTCGGGCTCAATGGGTAGTGATCAATGGCTCCATGTCTAGTTGGCAGCCAGTATCAAGTGGAGTGCCCCAAGGGTCGGTCCTGGGGCCGGTTTTGTTCAATATCTTCATAAATGATCTAGAGGATGGTGTGGATTGCACTCTCCGCAAATTTGCGGATGATACTAAACTAGGAGGAGTGGTAGATACGCTGGAGGGCAGGGATAGGATACGGAGGGACCTAGACAAATTGGAGGATTGGGCCAAAAGAAATCTGATGAGGTTCAACAAGGATAAGTGCAGGGTCCTGCACTTAGGATGGAAGAACCCAATGCACCGTTACAGACTAGGGACCGAATGGCTAGGCAGCAGTTCTGCGGAAAAGGACCTAGGGGTGACAGTGGACGAGAAGCTGGATATGAGTCAGCAGTGTGCCCTTGTTGCCAAGAAAGCCAATGGTATTTTGGGTTGTATAATTAGGGGCATAGCCAGCAGATCGAGGGATGTGATCATTCCCCTCTATTCAACATTGGTGAGGCCTCATCTGGAGTACTGTGTCCAGTTTTGGGCCCCACACTACAAGAAGGATGTGGATAAATTGGAAAGAGTCCAGCGAAGGGCAACAAAAATGATTAGGGGTCTGGAACACGTGACTTATGAGGAGAGGCTGAGGGAACTGGGATTGTTTAGTCTGCAGAAGAGAAGAATGAGGGGGGATTTGATAGCTGCTTTCAACTACGAGAGGTGGTTCCAAAGAGGATGGTTCTAGACTATTGTCAGTGGTAGAAGAGGACAGGACAAGGAGTAATGGTCTCAAGTTGCAGTGGGGGAGGTTTAGGTTGGATATTAGGAAAAACTTTTTCACTAGGAGGGTGGTGAAACACTGGAATGCGTTACCGAGGGAGGTGGTAGAATCTCCTTCCTTAGAAGTTTTTAAGGTCAGGCTTGACAAAGCCCTGGCTGGGATGATTTAACTGGGGATTGGTCCTGCTTTGAGCAGGGGGTTGGACTAGATGATCTCCTGAGGTCCCTTCGAACCCTGATATTCTATGATTCTATGATTCTTCTGTATTGAACAGAGGATAGTTTTAAAGTACTCCGTCATGTAAACACTTTTTCAAGTTGAGATTACACATTTTGTTTGCCTTATTGTATTCTAAGCTATGAGCAATGTGAAAATTTTGAGTTGCATACAGTAATACCAAAAAAGCTTAGAGTTATTAATCCTTCTTTCCAGTATGTTGTTGGACTCCTTCATGTTACTTCTTGTGATTTTTTTCTTTGGAGAATGCAGTCATTTGTCTAGGGCATCATGTCTTCCCTCTGCTGATATGTTAGCAGATTTTTAAAGTGACTGTTCATATTCATGGAGGCATTTGGTAATGTCTCCACAGTCAAGGTTGTGTTGAGATTTGCATGTAAAGCAGGACTACAATCTCTGCTTCATACTTTAAAATCTGATTTTAGTTTTCAGGTTTGGCACAAAACTTTTTATAGCACAATTGAAGTTTCTATATTTATTTTAGGGAAATATTTACTAATTTTTGCAGAGGAAGCATGGAAATGTTGTTGTCCTATTTTCCTTATTTCTTTGATTCCTTCCAGATAGCTCATAAACTCTGTGCACACACATGGTAATAACCTCTTGGACATAGACCATTTTTAAAATTAAACAAACAAAAATTTATTCTTCTTATTCAGTATTCACAGTTTTGAGCTACACAAAGTTTAGGTGACAGAATAGCTCAGGTCCTTCTGCTACTTACATTCGCTGATAGTGCTCTGCAGGTATCCATGATGAAGCAGGTCTAGGTTGGGCTTTGGGAGAGAGAGTTGGGGCTTTAGGTAGTATGATGTGTAAGGGAAGCAGGCAGACTAAGTGAGGCTTTGCAGGAACACGAGGGGTTGAGTGGAGCTTTGGAGAACAGGTTTTCCAGGAGGCTGGATAGAGAGAAGAAGCTTATGTGCAGGTGCTTTACAGAGGGCTTGGGATGAAGGGAAGCCCAATGTCTTTACACCATGGCATAGAAACTCTCTCTTCTTCTGATGCTGCTGCCTTGGCTTTCCAATGCAGCATCCCTGGGGAAGACAAACTGCTGAGTTGTTTACACATCTAGGATGGTCTTGGGAGGCTAAGTCACTGGAATGGCAGTCAGGAGAGTTCATTTCCTGCCTTTGTCTCAAGGTTTGTGTGTGGTTTTGGCCAAACCATGATCTCTCTGTGTCTCCATCCCCACCTGTAAAATGGGGAGGATAATAATACTACTCTACCTCATAGGATGTTGTGATCATAAAAACATTAATGTTAATGAGGATCATACAACGACATAGTGCTGCTGTTCTTTATGAAGTTCTTTCCAACCACGACCAGTTGACTGGTTAGGGACCATTCCAGGCTTTCCCCAGATCCGTCCTTAGTGCCTAGATTAGTTAGTTTTTAATCATTAATTGTTAAGGATAACATTTATAGTTAGTTTTAGTCAAGTTTTCTTTGGCTCTGGGATGGCGTCTCCGAAGATCAAGAAACCTGGCTTCAAGAGATCTGTTTCCTGCCCTCAGTACCTCCAACATCTACACATACACTGGATGTCTTGTGTGCCTAGGGGAGGTTCATTCTCTGTTTGATTGCTCTAGTGGTTCTACATTTACTCAGGGCTCTAGAAAGGGACTGCAGGTGATACTGCTCCAGGAGGCATTGGCAGCACAGCTCACCAGATCCAAACATTCACAAAGATCTGAAAGATTCCATAGACAGGCATCAGCCCCTAATACACTGAAAGCAAAGAAACCTAACACTAGACAAAAATTGTCTACATCACCACTAAGTATTAAGAGATCTGCAGCTCCAAGAAAGAATTCAAAATCTAAAAGCAGAGTCTTCGTCAATGTCATTGTCTTTGTCCAAAGCCACTCTATGAGAGAGAGAGTGTCTGGATCCCTCTGATCTGATTACACCTAAGGAACTGGAGATCAGAAAAGACTCTGTGACAAGACTTGCTGGTTTGAACTAGAGTAAATGGTGGATTCTCTGTAACTTGAAGTCTTTAAATCAAGATTTCAGCCCTTCAGTAACTCAGCCAGAGGTTATGGGCCTATTACAGGAGTACCTGGATGAGGTTCTGTGGCCTGCGATGTGTAGGAGGTCGGACTAGATGATCAGGATGATCCCTTCTGCAGGGCTGTCCCTAGGGGAGTGAGGGGCCCAGGACAAATCAACCTCCCTGCTAGTCTCCTCACCTACTGCCCGGCATGCCCACCCAGCTGCCGCTCGTCTCCTCACTCCCTGCCTACCCGCCCGCCCGCTGTTCTCTTCCTCACTCTGTCCTCCTGCCTGCCTGACACTCGCCTCCTTACCTGCCTGCCCACCACTCGCCTCCCTGCTAGTCTCCTCGCTGTCCATCCGGCGTGCCCTCCCACCTGTCTGCCCGACTGCCACTCTCCTCCTCGCCATCCGCCCACCCGCCTGCTGCTCGCCTCCTCACCTCCCTGCCGGCCACTCGCCTCCCCGCTAGTCTCCTTGTCGTCCATCTGGCACACCCACCTGCCTCTCTGCCTGGCAGCCACTCACCTCCTCACCCCTACCCGCCTGCCTCCTCACCCCCCGCCATGCCTGCCCACCCGCCGCTCTCCTCCTCACCACGTGCCTGCCTGACACTCGCCTCCTCATCTGCCTGTCCACCACTCGCCTCCCTGCTCGTCTCCTTGCTGTTGGTCCAGCGTGCTTCCCTGCCTGTCTGCCCAACTACCACTCTCCTCCTCGCCATTCGCCTGCCTGCCTACCGCTCACTGCTCACCCGCCTGCCCTCTGCTTGCCTCCCTGCTAGGATCCTCGCCGTCCATCCGGCACACACCCCCCCATCCACCCGACCGCCGCTCTTCTCCTCACCGCCCACCCGCCTGCCTCCTCAGCCCCCTCCCACCTGCCTGCCTGTCGCTTGCTTCCCCGTTCACCTCCTCACCTCGCCCGCCCGCCTCACCTCCCTGACCACCTCCTCACCTGAATATCAGGACATATGGTGTCCGATTGTACATTGGTCGGGACACAGGACAAAGGGCTAAATATCGGGACAGCCCCAATTTTATCAAAGCGAGGGGGCCCCCAAAGCGTGGGGCCCAGGGTGGTCGCCCCAAGTCACCCCCTGCCCAAAGGATGGCTCTGCCTTTCTGACCTTAAGATCTATGAGTCTATGAAACACTGAGAGAGGGGTATTAATTCCATAAATTCTTTATTCATCGGCACCTTTCCTTAGAGACGTCTGTGTTCTCTTGTCTTTTGGGGTCATCTGTATGAAACATACCACAGTAATCTTTAATTTAAAAGGGTTATTAAATATAGAGAAAATGGAATTAAAACAAAAGAAAACATTTGCGTGACACATCTAGATTTACACTTCTCAGAAGTGACACTAGACTAGGTGTTCTCAGCTTAGTTACAGAAGGGACGGGGGGAGAAGAAAACAAAAGAGCTTACATCTCTTGAAAGCAATCCCCTCTCTCTGACCACTATGGTCCCTTTGTCATCATTGCACTTAGTGTCTAGATAGCAACTCCTTTCTTGTCCCCCTCAGACATGCTTATTAAATCCCCTCTTGAATTTTTCCCAAATAGTTTGCTGAACACGCGCGCGCACACACACACACACACACACACACACACACAATAGGGTTTGTCAACAGCTTTAATCTCCACCTTCCAGGAGATGTCCACTGAAGAAGACGATACACTTAACAATGATTGGTAGTTGCCTTTCAAAGGCTTACCGACCTAGTTCAGATACCAGCTTTCACAGATGACTTTGGCTGGTTGTACCCCTTATGGACAGGGTACATAAATACTTAAATACTCCCCCAATTATGTTTTTTCTGTTGTCAATGAACTGTGAATTATGGACAGAGGCCCAGGCCCTCTGTCACACTGATATACAAAGGGCCGGCTCCAGGCACCAGCGTTCCAAGCAGGTGCTTGGGGTGGCAGTCAGAAAGGGGCGGCAGTGTTCCCACAGTGCCGGCAATTTGGCAGCAGCTTCTGCCTTTTGCCGTCCTGGGCGGCAATTTGGCAGCAGCTTCTCTCTTCTGCTGTCCGTGGCGGCAATTCAGTGGGAGTTTCTCCCTTCTGCCGTCTGTGGTGGCAATTCGGCAGCGACAGTTTTTTTCGCTGCTTGGGGTGGCAAAAATGGTAGAGCCAGCCCTGGATATACAGATACTCTTTAAAAAATATAACATCATTCTTTTTTGGTGTAGTTGTACACTGTTTTTGGACTGACAAGCATAGGTGGCCGATGGACAAAATTAATGATGGGATACTGTAGGTGCCAGAGATTCTTAATGTCTGCCGTGGTTGGACTAGATTTTCAAAGGAAAAAACTTGACATCTTGTGGGAGAGAGGCTGGGATCCCAGGGATGTGAAAATAGTTGTATGAGAAATGTGAAAGAAGTTTTGGCATCTGTGAGCAGGGTACCACAAGGAAAATATTATTTTTACCATGTCCTCATGTTGTATGTGGTTTTTAATTAATTGATTTTATAAAATTATATGAACTATTACTATGGCATATGAAAAGTGTTGTATGCATGGCAAACTTTAAAAGAAAACTCCTTGATTATTTTCACAGCAAACCCAAGGAACCAATGTTCAGTGCAGGTAGGTTCTGTTTTATTTTTTTCCATTTCTAAAGAGATAACTTGCATGCTGATGCATTTTTTTATTGTACAGTGATTTATCAGGGAAATCGGCTTTCGGATTCAGAGCCTTTCACTTACAGGCCACTGGTGGCCTACTTCCTAGTGGCCAATGGGTCTGCATTGTGACTGGAATCCTTTTTGGCAAGAAGGCCAAGAACAAAAAGCTATGAAAATGGAAACTACCTTCTTACCAAATAGAGATATTCCTGTTCAAAACAGGATTAAGGTTTTTGTGGGTCGAAGTATATTTGAAGCTCAGACTATGGCTCTCTGCACTATACAATATTTTAAGTGTGATTCTACTCATAAAAATGAGCAAATGCAATTAAGAGATTTCATATTTATGTCTCAGTTCTTTCCTGAGCAAAATTGCCAAGTTACAAATAAAAATGCTGTTTTTCTAACTGAAGCTCTGGAAGCTCATCTTTTGACTTGAAAGTCAGTGTTCTTTTCTTTCCTGCTCATGCATCATCACCATCAACAAGATTCTGCAGGCTACATTCTAAATTTAAATAAGGACAGAGTTTATTTGCCTCTGCCATTAAAACTTTACGAACAATCCTGTTGATGGCATGTGACACAAAATAGAGTACAGCTTGTTTCCCTGTTGGCTCTGCAGAGCCAAGCAAAAGTAAAAAGTAGTAAAAACTTACTTTGTCATTGGAATAAGCAAATGTGATGGAATGCACACTGAAAACAAATCTGCTGGTTCAGCACGTGGTGTTTTTATAGTTACCTTTCAGACTATAATCATAATTTAAATTAAAGATGGAGGATTTCTGTTTCTTGGGCTGATAATCAAGACCCCCCAGCAAAGCACATGGTAACTTCCAACTTATATGTATGTATATATATATATATATATCTTCTTACTATATGTTCCATTCTATGCATCCGATGAAGTGGGCCATAGCCCATGAAAGCTTATGCTATAATAAATTTGTTAGTCTATAAGGTGCCACAAGTACTCCTGTGTTCTTCTAAGTAGTCCTGTTGACTTCATTGGGAATACTCATGTACTTATTGCTTCTCTGGATCACAGCCCATGTCCCTCTCATGGATACAAGTTCAAGAACAAGAAAATAGCTTCTGATATGCTACATTTATAATTTTGTCTCATAGTAACTTTTTTTCTTTTTCACTTTCCTGGAAAAGGGCACATTTGGCTTTAATAGTTTTTTGTTTCAAAATTTTCTATTGAGATTCATAGGTTAAATTATTCATTTAAGTTATGTGAGTTTGATCTTACCCTTCTGATTCAGGCAAAATTACCACTGAAATCAGTTAGAGGTTTTTTTTTCTAGGCAAAGTATATCCCAAATTCCTAAATATTTAATTATTTTTAGCATAAAGTTACATAATGGAGCTTAAACCAATCTTTTAATGATAAAATAGCTCTAAATGTATTACTCTTGGCTAGAAAAACAGAGTTTTGAATGCAGTAACACACAATCCATTGAATGGACCATGGGTCAATGTTTTGTCAAGCAGCAAGTTAGCCTCTAAGAGGATACAGCTGGACAACCAATAGAGCAGGGGTGTAGGTGAGCCTGACTGTACTCAAACCCATCTTTATCTAGCACTTCTGTCTCTGTCTCTGTAATCACAAGGGAAGCGCCGTGTGACACACTGCAAAGGTAGGCATCATTTCCAAAACCTCATAGCTCTCTATGCAAAACTGTTACCAGGGTGACAGAAGCTGTATTTTTATACAGCCAATATACATTTTTATTGGAAAGTTAAAACTCTTCAATTTATTTGAGTAAGGTTAAAAATATTCATGTAAAAGTGTCTGAATTATAACCCTTGATGCACTATAATGATAACAATGGGTTATAATTTAGATTTTGGTTGACTTTGGTAAATGACTTTTTTAAAAATTCAGTGTTGAGAGAGCTATATGGCAGCACCTGGATGTCTCACTGTGTTTGAAATGCTGTTTTGCACTTCTGCTAACATGCCCTGTGATATAGAACCTGCCCTGTTTTTGCTGTTTTGCTGCAAATCTAATGTATGCTTATAGAAACATTGGTTTTTTCCCCTGCTTATATCTTCCTTGGTAGATTGTAGATTTGTCTGAATTATCAGTAAGCAGAAGTAGGTGTAAAATTAATTTTAAATGTTTTTTGCACAGTGTAGTAATACAGAATTATGTTTATTAAATGGATAGTATTGATTTCTGAAACATAATTTAATTGGACATTAAATATGCACATATGGTACATGTCTGTAACTTGTCTCTTTGATATAACCAGAGATCTTGTCTTGGATTTTAGAAGTTGCTTATTCTTAACCAGTTTTTCACTAACCTGCATCTTTTAGCTTTCCATCAATTAAGTTTAAGCCTTTATAAAGGAATGACTGTTTTACTCTCAAGACTAAATTTTGGAAGGGGCTTCAACCCACCACTGTGTATTCATAGTGCAGTTTTATGTCTGAAACTAATAGTGGGTTCAATTGCAGATCTAATTAGCATTAAGACATCTTACTACTAAGGCTGTTGATTAATCACAGTTAACTCACGCGATTAATTAAAAAAAATTAATCATGATTAAAAAAGTTAATCGTGATTAATCACAGTTTTAATCACACTGTTAAACAGTAGAATACCAATTGAAATTTATTAAATATTTTGGATGTTTTTCTATATTTTTAAATATATTGATTTCAGTTACAACACAGAATACGAAGTGTGCAGTGCTCACTTTATATTATTATTTTTTATTACAAATATTTGCATGGTAAAAATGATAAACAAAAGAAATACTATTTTTCAATTCACTTCATACAAGTATTGTAGTGCAATCTCTTTATCGTGAAAGTGCAACTTACAGATGTAGATTTTTTTTTGTTGCATAACTGAACTCAAAACCAAAACAATGTAAAACTTTAGAACCTACAAGTCCACTCAGTCCTACTTGTTCAGCGAATTGCTAAGAGAAACAAGTTTGTTTACATTTACAGGAGATAATGCTGCCTGCTTCTTATTTACAATGTCACCTGAAAGTGAGAACAGGCGTTCACCTGGCACTTTTGTAGCCAGCATTGCAAGGTATTTAAGTGTCTGATATGTTAAACATTTGTATGCCCCTTCATGCTTTGGCCACCATTCCAGAGGACATGCTTCCATGCTGATGATGCTTGTTAAAAAAATAATGCATTAATTACTTAGTGACTGAACTCTTTGGGGGAGAATTGTATGTCTCCTGCTCTGTTTTACTTGCATTCTGCCATATATTTCATGTTTTAGCTGTCTCGGATGATAACCCAGCACATGTTGTTGGTTTTAAAAACACTTTCACTGCAGATTTGACAAAACACAAAGAAGGTACTAATGTGAGATTTCTCAAGATAGCTACAGCACTCAACCCAAGGTTTAAGAATCTGAAATCCCTTCCAAAATCTGAGAGGGACAAGGTGTGGCGCATGCTTTCAAAAGTCTTAAAAGAGCAACACTCTGATGCAGAAACTACAGAACCCAAACCACCAAAAAAGAAAATCAGCCTTTTATAGGTAGCATCCAACTCAGCTGATGAAAATGAACATGCATCAGTCTGCACTGCTTTGGATCGTTATCAAGCAGAACCCATCATCAGCATGGACACATGTCCTCTGTTGAACCATGAAGACATGTGAATCTTTAGTGCATCTGACACGTACACATCTTGCGACGCCAGCTACAACAGTGCCATGCGAACGCCTGTTCTCATTTTCAGTGACATTGTAAACAAGAAGCGGGCATCATTATCTCCTGCAAATGTAACCAAACTTGTTTGTCTAAGTGATTGGCTGAAGTAGGACTGAGTGGACTTGTAAGCTCTACAGTTTTCATTGTTTTGTTTTTGAATGCAGTTTTTATGTACATAATTCTACATTTGTAAGTTCAACTTTCATGATAGAGATTGCACTACAGTACTTGTATTAGGTGAATTGAAAAATACTATTTCTTTTGCTTTTTACAATACAAATATTTGTAATACAAATAAATATAAAGTGAGCACTGTATACTTTGTATTCTGTGTTGCAATTGAAATCAATATATTTGAAAATGTATAAAAGATCCAAAAAATTTTAAACAAATGGTATTCTATTATTGTTTAACAGTGCGACTAATTGCGATTAATTTTTTTGATAGTTTGTCAGCCCCATTGACTACCTAAAAGGAGAAAATGGACCTGCATTTGCTTCAGCTCATAAAATTTGTGGGTGCAGAAATACAGGCTATGTAAAAATTTGGTCCTTGGGTTCTTGTTTCTAGTTCTCCGATTCCTCTCTCTCTTTACATTTATAGTTATATAGTGATCTGATATTTAATGACCTTTGCTAAGGAAAGTAGGGATAAGGAGTGTGCAGTATTGTATGTGTATTTTTCATGCTTCAGTAGTCAAAATTGCAAAAGTCACTATGGTTCAAGTGACCAAATAATGAGAGACCTAATGATCTCCTCCCTTACCTGCCTTTTTAATAATCATGATTAGAGTTGACATCACTAAAATCTGTTAACTTTCCAAATGTACAGTCTCATAATGCCTTAATAACTTTAGTGCTGGTAATATATTCTCAGCCTAATCACAGGGGTATCACATGCAAATATGAACAGTGATGTAGTTAATATGAACAGTGATGTAGTTATCTAACTTGTGCAGTGCAAGAGCATATTTTGTTTCTTGGTAGAGAACTACAAATGTAATTATTTATAAATATCCAAACATGTCTTCAGTGTTATCAGTCATCTTGAACTCCACACATCTGTTAACATTTTAGTTGTGTCCACTTTTAATATTGTTTTCCATTCTTTCACTAGAAATCTCAATTAAAAAACTATTAGTTTTTTTTACTATCGTGCCATAATTATACAGGACACCGTGCAAAAGCAGCGCTGTGACAGAACAACTAGGTTTCCTGAGCACATACATTTCTGCAGTACAATAGCAAAATATAGTTTAAACATATGACATTTCTTTACTGAATGAATTCTCTCTATAGATGAGACAATAATGAATGCATGTACTCCCATTAAAACACAGCTTTTAGTTTTTAAAATTAAAATAATACCGGCATGTGTGTTAATGATGATTGAAAATCCTTAGCATAACTTTAACAGACCTAAATTGTATACGTTTTATTTACATAATTTTTTTACTTCTGCCCTTCCATTTCCTCTGTGCACATGATTATTCTGTCTAGTAACTCTACAGATGTCACTGACTCCAAAAGTTCTTGATTCACATGAGAGCAAGGCTGAATCCTTTGATCTGCTGATGGAGCAGCAGAAGTCAGCACGTTTTGAATCTGGACAAACTTCACCAGAAGTTCACAAGACACCCTGTTTGGCCCTGCCAATTTCTAAAAGTCCTAGTCAGACCTTCATGCCATTTCCTAGATCTCCTAGTTTTATAAGCCCCATGAAATCCCCGAGTCAGTACTTTCAGATCTGTTATTAATTCATGCTTCTGTTCTCAGACATATTTCTTATAAGACCCCCAACTACAGTATTTCTAGTGTTTTCTCCTATAAATGTTTACTTTCTATCAGCAAAGTTCAGTTTTGTAGCTTCTTTCTTACATCATTTTTCTTTCTATAATGTGTTGTCAGTTTGTCATTTCTGTTTCAATGTTTAGCTATGCTTTAAACACTTAACTGTTTTTGCATGTACGTCAGCATGATTCTTTTTACTATTTGTTTGTGTTTATACGTGATGTACCTTTCACATTATGTATCAAGTGCAAAGTACATTTTTACACTGAGATGCAAAGAATGCAACTAAGTGTTTAAGTATTTTTAGATGCTGATGCTCAGAACTGTAAATATCCATCAAAAACTAAATAAAAGAATTTTAAGTGGCATTCCTGCGTTAATCGTAATTTTTACTTTGGTGTTTTTCCTCAGTTCTGGTATAAAAAGGAAATATGTACATATGGTATTGATTTTCCCTGAAAGTAATGGTTTGGTCTTAATCTTTTCATTTCTATAGTTCTTTGTTGCATAGTCTGGTTGAAGAGTTTGCTTCTAGTCTCAAAATATTTAGACCAAAAGGGGACTTTATACCCTTAGTTTGATAACCCCTATCTAGTGTTAGTTTGTGACTAAAACTAAAACAAAAGCTACATGTCCTATAATAGAAGTTTGAAACGCCATGTTATGCAAAAATATTATTCACTGAGATGATAGGTGGGAGCAGTTGGAGGAGAAATCTTTGCTGATGTGTTTATGTGTAACTCTCTGAACATTTCTGACCCTTTTTGTAGAAGAAGGATATGTAAAAATGTTTCTGCGTGGACGTCCTGTTACCATGTACATGCCCAAAGATCAAGTGGAATCTTACAATTTGGAAGCAAAAGTAGAACTACCAGCCAAGAGGCTTAAACTGGAATGGGTGTATCCTTTTTATGCTAGAGCATTACTGGTAACTACTAATTTCTTAGCAATTGTCTTAAAATTTTGTTATAAAAATTATTTAGCAAAATTGAGGTCTTTATGTTGAATTATTTTCTTTAATGAACTATTAGGCCACATTCACTTTTCAATAGGTGATAATTTCTTGAGGCTGCTGCTCCAGATTTTATGCAAAATAGTCAAGCAGCTCGAGGATGGTTTCACTTAAATGTTGCCTGAAGGTTATGTTTAAAACATGTTAACTATCACAAATTAAAATTAGGCATATTGCAAGAATTTAGTGAACTGTAATTACTAATTATAGTGTACATAAAACAAGTTTGCTTCTTTTCCGATACACATCAGTACTTTATTACGCTATATATATATTTTTAAATTGCACCTTTGTCTTTTTTAAGAGGTGCTATAATTGCAGTACACGGATAACAAAAGGGGTCTTATAGAACATTCTTGTACATGACAAATTCTCTTCACTGTAGTTAGAAATAAAGATTTTTTTTTTAAATGGAGCCTAAAGTTAGACTCAGAAATCCACATTTAGAAGCTAGTCACCTATTATCAAGTTTTGTTGTAAGTGTCATGATAGAAGTGAGACTTGAGCTGGGATTTGATGGAGGATAATGTGATCACTTTACACATTTTTATTGGGTGCTCCTTCTTAGCATAAGGGTAAGCATTGGAGAATGCATGAAGATACTTGCTAGAAAATTTGACAGATGGGCAATGAAGGCTGCATTGGCATAGACCCCAGCCTCCACTCCCTCTACTCCGCCAACAATGTTTCAGTATCTTATACAAAATGATAGTTGTGATGGGGATAGGCCATGACTTCAGTGTGAGTATTCCCATGCTTTGTTTTTTAAAGTGTGATATCTATAGTATAACCTATTAGAAAGCTAAAGTTTTCAATCCATGGAAATATCTCAAAGGTTAACAGCCTCAAGCCAGTGCTGGGTAGCTGGAAGGTTAGAAGGTAGAGGAGGAAACATATTTCCAAAGAATACCATGCTGAATTTTCCTTTCAGACTTTTTTTCCTTTGGATGTAGTCACTGGGACTGTTTCCAGGCTTAGAAGTTAAACTCATGTCTAAGTCTTTTCAGAATACGGGCACAAAGATGTTACTATTTTTTATTGTTATTTGTATTACCATAACACTTAGGAGCCCTAGGTATGGACCAGGACACCATTGTGCTAGATGTTGTACAAACACAGAACAAGACAATGGTCCATGCCCCAAAGAGATTACAACCTAAGTATGATGATAATGGAGTCTCACGTCAGTGTCAATATACAAGGATTCAGCAAACATTATAGGTGAACATGTATATGTGAGGTCAGATCAATGAGAGAAATGCAAAAATGGTTACATGTGGGACGGGCAAGGTTGTCCATGACCATTGCAGGCTGTTGTATCCTTGCTTTGTGGTGTTCACGTTTTTCACATAAGGTGTTAATCCGCCTTGCTTCAAAGCAGTTAATGGCAACATGACAAATATTCAGCCATCTTGCTCAGTTATGGGATCAACATGACATATTTTCAAGTTTGACTTCAGTGTGTCTGTATATTGTTTGTAGTGGCCTCCAGGAAAAGAAGCGAATTGCTTTAGATGACCATAAAGTATGGCCTTTGGTAGTTTCAATTTGGCCATACAAATGAGATGCTCCGACCAATGCAGCTGAGCTTTTATGAGCATGCTTTGAATGCCAGACATCCAAAAACAATTAAGGATATCAGTATTGGGAATCTTGTCCTACCATTTGATTCTGCAAACAGACTGAAGACAGCACATATGGAACTGATCAAATTTCCTAATGTGGCAGTGATATGTTGTCCAAGTCTCAAAACCATATAGAAGCATTGTAAGCATGACTCTCCAATAGACATTTAGCTTAGTGCTTATTTTGATGTCCCTATTGTTTCATAGGTGATGTGTGAGCATTCCACATGCAGAACTGGCCTTGGCTATGTGATGGGTAATCTTGTCATCAGTTATGGCATTCTGTGACAGCATACTCTCTATATAGCAAAACTTCTCTATTGTATCAAGAGGAGTGTTGTTGATCTTAATAAGTGATAGACAAATGTATCATTGGACACAGAACAAGGTACATTACTTTGGGTACATTACTTCAGTTTTCTTTCAGCTGATTTTGAAACCAAAGTGATTGACTGCCCTAGCAAAGTGATCTCGTATAAATTGAATGTCATCAACAGAGTCAGCAACCAGTACAGTCATCAGCAAATGAAATCTTAATGAGTTAACCCACCACTTTTGTGTGAACACAGAAGCATTGCAGATTGCACAACTTCCCATCAGTACAGAACTGGATAAATACTCTTCTGTCAATGTCATGAAATGCATCCATAAGCATAGCCAAAAAACGATGGAAAAGAGTTAGAGAGTCAGCAGGCAACATTGTTTAGTGCCATTGATGACTGGAAAGAGGTCCAGTATCTCACCATTTTCCACCACTCTGGCCATCATCCCATCATGGAAGGAACGAATGACAAATTTTGCAGGGAATCCAGATACAAACAAAAATTTCCAGAGTCCCTCATGATTTAGAGTCCAGAGTTTTAACTAATTTGGTAAACACTGTATAAAGACCACAGTTTTTTTCTCCCGGCACTCTTCCTGAAGCTGACGGGCTGTGAAGATCATGTCTGTAGTAGCCCATCCAGACCAGAATCCACATTGGGACTCGGAAAAGTTGATTTCCACAAGATAGGCGGTAAGTCTTCAGTATGACCCAGGCAAGAATTTTCCCAGCAACAGAGTAGGGAAATATCATAATGATTATCAGTTTGCCATATCACCCTAATGTTTATAGAGGTGGACAATGCTGGCATCCTTCAAATCCTGTGGCACCTACTCCTGCTTCCAAATAATGTGGAAAAGCCATGTGAGGTGCCTTCCAGTGTGGTAGCCACCCTGCTTATAGATATCTGCTAGCATGCCATCCAGTCTGAGTGCTTTGCTTTGTGATTGCTGTTGTGTTCTCAGAAGGTGGGAGCTTGTATGAGTTCTCCTTTTAATGGATATTGTGGAAGAGCATTAGTTGCATCCTTGGAAATTTTGAAAGGATGATTAAGAAGTGAGCTGAAATGTTCTCTACGTTGAGCATGTATTTCTTTTTTCTCAGTTGAGTCAATTGCTGTCCAGTGTGCATACAGGGGTTATCTTGTTGCACCAGGGGCTACCACACCGCATGCAGGGTCAGATAAGTATAAAACAAAAAATAACAGATGGATACAGACAGGGAGAGCAAGGAAACAGTATGAGAGTATTGGTCAGCGTGATAGACAGTGGTCTCAGCACATCAGAGGCCTAACCAGTCTCGAGGCTTTTGTTTGCCTCTTGGCAAAGGAAAGTTTTAAGGAGGACAGTGAGGTAGCTTTGCAGATGTTTATGGGGTGCTCTTTCCAATCAGGAGGAGCAGCACAGGAGAAAGCACAAAGGTGCTTGTTTAAAATTTACCAAGTGGACAATGGAAGCTGGCATTGTAAGAACCTGCAGGGTTGGGATTCTGGGGGTTGTGGTCTGCTGACACCCCCACATCACCACAGGAGGCTTAGACTGTGCTCCCCTGGGAGGACCCTGTGAGGCTAGGCTCATCAGCAAGTATTGTCCAGCAGGACCTGAGTCGCAGCTCCTCACAGCCTGCTGACTGGCTGGCACCAGTACAAAATCCAGGAAGCTATGACAGGGAGTTGTCTGAGCAACAGCACAGTCTCCCTGCCTGTCTGTGCTTCAGACCCCGCATGTAAGAGCCCAGATTCTGACTCTGCCTGTCTCCTTACGCCTGACTCTTGGTTTGCCCTCTGGCCTTCTGGTACCTGACCCAGCCTGACTCCTGCTCTGACCACTAGGTCTGACCGCCCATGTCCCTGTCATGACAGGCATTCTCTGATTGGAGGTGGGAATCAACATCTCAATAGGTAGGGTGGGGAATAGGCCTTCAAGGTAAAATGAAGACAACTAGCATATGTTTAATGCTTCTGCCATGTGGTGTAGGCAGCAACAAGGGCTGGGATCAATACCTCAGGGCTCCTCTTAACAATACAAAACAGAAACAGCTTGAGCCACCACCCAGTAATCTTGAAAAATTACATACCACTTCTGGGTGTCTTCAGAGACCGCATTTCTCCTCTCACAGGCACTGAATCTATGTATAACAAAATAAAACTTATTAAAAGAAGAAAACCCAGCATTAATTTGGGAAAACACTGCAACAATGACTTGAATGTACACAACCAATGAGTAAAACACCTGCCCCACAGTATCTTGGGCAGTGTCCTTTTTCTCAGTTTCCCACCTTGCAGCATGAAAGTCCAAGGGAGGAATGTCTTTTTAACATGCCACTCCCCTTTTTCCTATGCTGTGCTCCACTCAGTTTGATGTCCAAGGTCAGCAACATCCCCAGAGTCTGGGGATGTGTTTGGGTGAGTCACCTCCCGCCTCTGAGGGGAGAGGATGGTTGAGTGATGCCTCTGCATCTGCCCATCTGTGTCTCTGCAGTCTCTGCCGCTGTTTATCTCTGTCAATGTCTCTGCATGTCACTGCTGCTGCTGACAGCTGCCATCATCACTGCTGCCTGTACCTGCAATGCTGTGTTCTGAGGTTCCACCACTTAGTCCCTTTCTCAGTGATTTCAGCTCTGTAGTGATTTCACTGGATAGTGGGGAACCTCTCTGCTGCTGCCCCTTCTGCATTGTCTTTTCACCTCAACACTGTCTCTGTCCCAGGTCTAAGGTTCCGCTCCCTTAGATCAGCTTATCAGTGAGCTCAGTTCCAGTAATCACTGAGAAAGAACCAGGACCTTCAAAATCAGTCTAGTCAGCTCTGTCTTTTCAAACACTTGAGGGAGGAGGGTCAAATGGTTTCGGGGACACTTTAAACAGGGTCCACACCACCAGGTAGGAACATCCAGGTAGGAATTGGCGGCTGTGATTGCAGAGCCATTGGCCATTATCTTTGAA